CCCCCAAGACACAGATTCTGCCAGGCAACGGTGCCCTGCCCCCCGCAGCCAAGAGCGGCCGTTCTGCTTTTCTGGCAGCCTCTCAAGTATCTGAAATCAGCTGCTTACAACAACCACCCCCAGGTCCAGTCAATTTTGCTCCACCCTGGACGTGCCTGGCCCAGCTGTCATTTCTCCCTCACCTCTGGCCCCCGCCCATTTCTCCACACCCTTAAAACAGAGCGCCCCCATTCTCCTCAAGTTGACGCCCTGCGAGAACCTGGGTGCTTCTCAGCAATACTGCCACCTGCCCAGCTGCCTCCCTTCCTGTACTGGTGCATTTGGTCACAGGGGCAGCAGCAGGGAGGGGAGCCCCGGTGCAGCAGCCCTCACCATCTCGAACACGGCATACTCGGCGCTGTAGCTCTCGCCGGGCACCACGCCAGCACCGCCCACCAAGCCGGCCGCCAGGTTGTCAATGATGTTCCCGTACAGGTTGGGCATCACCAGGACATCGAACTGGTAGGGGTTCTGCACTAGCTGCAGGGGAGCAGACCAGCTCAGGCCTTGCACGCATGGCACGCCCATACCTGTGATCCCTCGGGGCAAAACGCACCATCCCCACCCTGCTTGCAAAGTTCGCCGTGGGGAAGGGGAGCCAGAGCAGGCCTGGCAATGGAGCCCAGTGCTCCCAGACAGATTAGTGCCTGCGCGGGGAGCTCTGGGCTCAGGCAGCCCCACAGGCAGGGCCAGGCCAGCCCAGGGCACTGACACAACCGCCAGGCGAGTCCTGGCATGAAGGCGAAGGGGTGGCTTCTGCAGAAGTGCCACAAACAGACCCTGTGACCGAGCGTCCCTGGGCAGATCTGCCACCGAGATCTAGCAGCCTGGAGCCACCGCTCCTCTCCCACCCGCCCATGGGGGCTGCAAGCAGTGGCAGGGCTGGGAGAGACCTGCAAGCCAGGACTGCAGAAAGGCCCATTCACATGAGCACTTGTGGCTTGGCCATGAGCACCCAGCGTTGCACTGGACCCTAATGTCTGCTTCCTCGTGTCCAGCTTCTGCGTGGGGCTGCACAGGGTTTGCTGGGGGAGGAGGCGGCTCTCACCTGCATGCAGCAGTTGTCAATGATCATGGTGTCGAACTTGATCTTGGTGTAGAGCTTGGACACCTCCTCGCAGCACTGCAGGAAGAGCCCGTCCCCCAGCTTCCTGCAGGAGCGGGCACAGACAGGGGTGGCTCCCACAGCTGCACAGGCCAGAGCCCATGCCTGCAGGGAGAAGAGGGCACCTCCGCAAGGTACTGGGTACCACGGGTGAAGCTGGTCCTGGGTACTAACGCCAGTGGGTCCAAGCACAGGAACTTTTGCCCTCCAGCAGGGAGAGCGAGTGGCACCGTGATGGGCTCCTAGTCAGGCCCCTCTGCAATCAGTGAGAGCCCCTGCGCCCATTCCCCCGCCCTGCCCCACTCACATGATGTTGGCCTTGTGCACGGCCGTGACCTTGTTGCGCCCCAGCTTGGTGGCGTAGTCGAAGGCGAACTTGGCGATGCGCTGAGACTTGGCCCGCGTGATGATCTTCAGGCACTCAATGACGCCCTTGGCGCTCTGGGCAGAAAGCGGCAGGGCTGCAGCGCATAGCACACCTGACAGCCACCCGCCCCCGCCAGGGGAGACCGTCTTGGACCGCTGTCCCAGCTTTGCTCCGCCTGGGGCCTCTCCTTGCCCAGCGGGGGCAGGCAGCAGCTCTGCGGAGGAGCTGGACAGCTCCCGGCCTGCTCCCAGCAGAGGCAGCCGCAAGCCTGGGGCTTCTCTTGCATTCAGCGCTGGGGCCCAGGGCTGTGCTGGGGTCGGGGTCGGGGTGGGGGAGGGCGGCTCCCGCCTTCCTCTGTGGGACACGCTAGCCCAGAACCTCCTTGACCCGGAGATCTCCTGTCTCTCCTAGCAACAGCCTGGGACTCGAGGCGTACAAACGCTTCTACCCGACGCGCTCGGTTCAGTCAGGGACGCTGCTTCCTCGGCACCCTGCCAACCCCGCAGGGCTCCGACCCCGAAGGAGCCTGGGGGGCGATCCCCGTCCCCCACTCGTGGGGCAGAGCATCTTGCCTCGCGTCCCTGCGGTACCCCTATCCGCCTGGGCCCAGCCCCGTGAGGATGAGGTCACGCGTGTGACACGCAAAAGGGCAGTGCCCCCCCCCCAGATGTCAGGGCACGGGACAGGGCCGCTAGCCTCCGCCCACCTCGTGCTCCAGGGAGCTGTACTCGCCCTCCGTCTGCTCCCGGATGATCACCAGGTCCAGGTTGTTGTGCCGCGTTTTGTACCCGGGCAGGCTCTTCACGTGCACCACGTTGGCGAACAAGTCCAGCTTGCGCCTGGCGGGCGGGCGGGCGGCCGTGGGTCACTGGCCGGGGCCGGGGCAGGGCCCCCCCATCCCCCAAACCTCCCCCCCCCGGGCCGGGCCGGGCCCGGCTCCCGCCT